AAAAAAAAAAAAAAAAGAAAAAAAAGAAAAAAGACCCAATTTAAACTAATGTGACAGTAGAGAAGTGACATCTATTCAGTTCTGCCTCTGTTTTATCTTTGCCTTTTAAAGATCTTAACATTCTTTACAATGACAACTTCATTCAAGCGTGACTTTGAAAGCCTAGTTAAATCAGCTGAGATCATGTACCAAGCACTTACGTTGCTGTTCTTACATTCATTACAAAAGTAAATTAAGTTTGGAATGCAAGTACCTTCAATTCCCCGCATGGAACACTTACTTGCCCAACTGCCCAAAATGCATTTATTTACACGCACACACATGCACGCACGCGCGCACACACACTGCGTGTGCGCATGTGCACGCATGGTCCACGCTGTGTACTTGAAAAGGATTCTGTTGGTCAGCAGTACTCATTGCGCCCAGTTCTGTGCTTCAGGAGGGATGTGGACAACATGGAGAGGGTCCAGAGGAGGGCCACCCGCATGATCCGGGGACTACAGGGCAGACCCTACACTGAAAGACTGCAGGACCTAAATCTGTTCAGCCTTCACAAGAGAAGGCTGAGGGGGGACCTGGTGACTCTGTATAAACTCACTAGGGGGGGGACCAGAAGGGTTTAGGGAAGACGCTGTTTCCCCTACCGCCCCCTGGCATGACAAGGAACAACGGACACAAGTTATGAGAGAGTAAATTTAGATTAGACATCCGCAAGAACTACGTCACAGTTAGGGCGGCTAGGAGCTGGAACCAACTTCCTAGGGAAGTGGGGCTGGCTCCTACCCTGGGGATCTTTAAGAAGAGGCTTCATGACTACCTGGCTTGACTCATTTGAGTCCAGTCTTTTCTCCCGCCCAGGCAGGGGGTCGGACTTAAAGATCTACAAGGTCCCTTCCGACCCTACTTCTATGATTCTATGATATGGTTGTTGCTCTGTGCCTTAAGTGCCCTTCAACCACCAGTGGACACAAAGTACACACGTTGCCCCTTAACAGAGTCCTGACACTGTGAGGCACCATAGCAGTGGGGCTGGGAGGAGAATCACGATACATATCTATAATGGACAATGCAACTTGAAATGCAATTACTCTGGGGTAACCGATCATTTCTTTTTCAAGCGACTGTCTGTTATACAGAGCCCAGCATTGGTAGTGACTCACAGTGATCCAAGTCCTACAAGGCACATGTAAATAATGACCATACGGCAGCTCTGCCAAAGTTTCCCAGATCTGGACACCTCCAAAACCACAGAAGTATTAAGCAAACACATGAATCAGTGACCTTGAAGTCACCCTGGCAGTGCTCAGGACGGGAACATTTCTCAGGCAGGCAACAGAAAGTTGACAGTGTTTTAACGGAGCGAGCTTTAAATCTTAATCATGGTTTTACCTTAACTGACCCATTTGCACAATGTTTGATGCTGGCTAGCATCCAGTTAAAGTCTCTCAAACACATCAGCCTTCGGAGGTAAGTGGCCACTTCTGCAAGGCACTTTGTGAACACCTGCAATGCTGTCAACAGGCCAAATGGTAACACCTTGATAATGTCAGCTTCCCACGAGAAGCCTCAGCTATCTTCCATGGGTGAGTGAACTGCAAGGGGGAGGAGGTCAAGGGCCACATAGCAATTGTTCAGATCTAGACAGATTACAGAAGCTACCATCAGCATCCAGCACTCAAGCTTCCACAGTTGCTGTTTAACCATCTTGGGTCCAGAACAGGTTTCTCAGCTTCTTTTTGGGAATCAGAGAAGATTAAAGACACCCTCTCTGAATTCCTGAGGAACTTCTTTCACTGCTTTGGGGGTGGGGAGGTATAAAGGAACAGAGCCTCCTGATTTCATGTGCTTGGGTAAGAAGGGTCTCAAACTTAATGGAATGGTCTCCACTCCACTATTTCCTGCTGGTCAGCAGTCCTGGTGTGCCAGAACTCACGGGAATGATTCCCAAATAGGACTGGCATGACTGGAAGATAGATACAGGCATCTGAAAGCTGCCCTGAACAAGTCAGTCAAATATTCTGTTGAAGGGTGCTGATGGGAACCATGGCGAGGGATCCACATCAGCACCTTGTAGGTTTTTGCGTTTTCTTAGGCAGTTCACGTTCCCTACAATGTGGGCAGAGCTGCCTGAAGAGGCGTCCAGTCCATGAGCTCACTCTTGGGCTTACAGACGTTTGTTGCCCAATGGAAGTTTGTTCGCAAATTTCCTCATAATCCCAATTACCGCAATCATATTTTAGATCAACAAGGCTGGTTAACTGACCACTCATTTGAAGGCTCAATAAGAGACATTTTTTTTCATGCAAACAAGCACAATTCTTTTAGGTTCTACAGAATGAGGGTGCCAAGTGAATGTACCCTTTGCCACATCCATTAGTCTGCTGCTACAACTACCAGCAAGCTAGGCATGCAAGGAGTATAAATTGTTCAAATCCCTGAAGCCAGGCTTGACAGTATCGGTCTGCCATAGTACTGGATGTTGGAATGAGAGAGGCAGATGTCTGCCAAAGCAGCTTGGCAAGATTTAAGAGTCGGTCATTAATCAGCACTGCAAGATGTCGAGGAACCAAAGTGCAGAGGGTGCCCAGAAGTTTGCACAATTTTTCTTGAATGTCTCAACTGGAATCTCAAATGCCAGTTCTTTTTAAGTGGTCTGGTAATCATCTATGGGTAATTAGGATGTGAGCTGGAACTGACTGATCTTTTGTTTCTTCACTGATCTTTTGCGATTCTTCACTTGAGTAGTCAAGTCAGATGGTAAAAGCACATCCAGGGCATGTGGTAAGTTCCCCTTTGGGGGTTTTAGAGAAAGGGATCCACACTGGGATACTAATGTGGGGTTGGCAGTAGGCATAAAGGACAGGCAAAAAGAAAGGTTTGGGGTGAGTGCTGCCCCCACCAGAGCTCCTATGTTTATGATGATAAGCATGAGTACTAAGATCACTTCCAGGAGGTAACTGGGCCTAAATGACTTAACTCGAGGTCTTCACTGGTAAAACCTCCTTGCGTAGGGAACTGAACGCTCATAAAGTAGGGAAGCTGCACCAGTTGGTGTGGTGGGAACACCCACAAAAATGTGTCCTGACCAGCTTGTTAACCAGTTATAGGACAGCTGCCAGCAGACCTAGCTTCATCACTGCAAATCTTGTGAGGTCCCTTCCAGCCTCTAATTTCTATGCATCTATGAAAAGTGGAGACCATCGTGTCTTTCAGTATCAAGTATGTCTACACTGATGGTAAGCAAGGAGCTCTTACTGGCACCAGTACAGATAGGCGCTTGCAATACCAGCACCCAGAGGTCAAGACAGCATGATTTCAGTGGTGCCAAAAATAATGGTCCTGAGACAAAGGTGAGCAGTGCTCAAATGGATGCCAGAGGAGCCTTATACTACTTTTCACGTCAGAAATACAGGAGCATTTATAGCTGCAGGAAGGACCCATGGGGAGAGACCTTTGATGATGGCTCTATAACCACGATGCTCACTCTAGCTCATTGCCTAATGTCCGACTACACAAGGAGGGCGAGTCTTTCACCAAATGGCCTTCCATGATATGGAAAGAGAAGATGCAGGAGGTGCCGTTTGCCCACAGGTGCTCACAGACGCCCGTCCTTGTCTTCCCATAATCAAACAGAGGAATGCATCGATTTCTTTAAAAGAAACATTTTGTAGAGAGATTTCTCAGGGTGCCGGACTCCTTCTGTAAAATGGCTTATAGATGGCACACCCCTCAGTAATATGCCCTTCTCAGACAAAACCACCAACTGGAACACCCGTCATTACATGCAAAGCAGGTTCTGAAGTGTGGAGACTAGTTATTTTTATGGTAGAAAGCTTTCCTGGCATAACCATACTAGCAAAGCACGTATTGTGAAGGAAACTACTAGGCTACTCCAGCTCCCCTGAGCAACGTAAGCTGAAAGAGTTGCTGGGCAGTTTTGATGCATCTACAATATTCTGTCAACAAAAGTCTCTATGTCAGTAGAAATTACACTTCAACAGCCTACTAACTGACAGAGTTATATCAGCAAAAGCTTTCTAAAAGTAAGCACACAGTCTCGTGTGCAGATATGGCACTCTTGATATGGTGCTTTTTTGCTACATCAGGCAAAATAAAATGGATTTTCTGACAAAAGGCTGAGATATTAAAAAGCCAATACTAACCTACTCTCTGGCAAATTAAAGTTGCATACGTGAGGAAAAAGCCAGACAGTGCATGGACTTGGACACTGCAAGAAGGAAGTGATGGGCAGCTGGGGGTGGCTCTGTGCTTTGTGCCCTTGGTTGGAGAGACAAAGACATTCAGGGAGCAGATGCTGTCCCAAAAGACACTGCTGACCAGTATCATCCATCTCATGTGTGCTGGGCAGAGGCACACTAGCAGCAGGAGATGCAAGGACAAATAACCCAAAGCAAACATCTCTAGCAAACCACAGCAAGACTTACACCAGCCAGTGCTTTACAAGAAGATCAAGAGGTAGTAACTACAGAGGGCCACACACGCAGAAGGTACTTTAGAAAGTATCATCTGAAATAATACCTGCCATTCTTTTTTTGTTAAAAACACTGTTTTACGATACACATATAAATAGTGATAAAAATAACTTGCTGTTGTCTTTCATCTAGAGGGAACATCTCAATCCAGCTTTGATTCTTTAAGTCACATTATTCAATGAAGCATACAATGTGTTTGTATGGTCTAATACCGCATCCAAGGTTTACACAAGCACATTTCTCTCTCCAGCATTTCAATTCCACATTTTCTCATCAACATTGATAACACAATACACCTTTCCCCAGCTTTGACAGATTTCTATAACCTTTCCCAGACTCTGTACCTGAGGCCAGCTACCAAGACACGGTCTGCATTTGTCATGAAACAGGTTCTGGAGGGAAGCTTTCTGTTCACTTGCCATCATCTTATGTAAAGCTTCATTTTCCTCTCCTTCTCTTTCCAGAATCTGTGTAAAACAAAGAGTTTCTCTAGTCCTTTCTGTTTACTTTCAAAATCATTATTGAAAAAGTAAAAGATTTTTAAATCTGTATATTTTAAGCAAGGGTAGCATCAACAAAGTTAGAGATGCAACCATATGCGAGCTACCAAAAAGCTTAAAAGTTACCAGGTACTCAAATACCTTGCACTGGGAACAGCATTCTTTGTTATTTGGGAATTCAGGGGCCTTTGGAAAATACTGCTTGAGTTTTTTCCAGGCTTCTTTAGAAACAACCCTTCTTTCATTTTCTGATATGCACAGGTCACCTGGATGGGGGGAGCAGGGGTGGTGGTAGAAAAGAAATCAAGAGAACATCATTTTGGTTCTGGACATGCTCAGCAGGAGTTTTGCAGCACTGAAGATTTAAGAGATTACTTTATATAATTGCAGTCGTAGATGTTTACGCCCATATCATCTGATGCCGACGTCAGCACTAGAGAGTGAAAAAATAGACCATAACCAATACAGAAAAGTCACCTTCAACCTCT